AAAGCGAATAACAGCAGCCCAAGCTTTGGAACATGAGTATGGTCTTCTCTTTTTACCTGGCTATTCTTATGTGATTTTTAAGTATCTAAATAACTAAACTATAAGAAAGGCTGAATTATTTCAATTATTTTCTTAATGTTTTTATGTCTATAGTTTCACTGTTCATCTTTTAAGCATTTATGTTTCTTAACTAGGTATTTCAAAATGGAACCACTGCCCGGGCGAAAGTAAGGCCTTTCTTTTCCTCCCTTTTAATTTTGTATCTTCTGTTGTGTTTGTTATTGGGTAAATCCTTTTTAATCACCGCTGATTACTTTTCATTTCTATACATATGCATTAGTAGTTTGACTTAATGGATCCAAGCCTGTATTCCATAAATTTTATTTACTTTAACTAGACAATACCAATTCTCAGTGCTCTTGTGCCCTGCCAACTTGGAGAGAAAGCTGTGAATTATCCCACTCGTCCAGTTGACACAACAACAGATTTCGAAGGGACAACCAATTTGCAACCTCCTCAACCGGTACACAACATCTTTGTTCTTTTTTTTTTTTTTTGTTGCAAATAAGGGCTTCTGGACTGGAAAACGAATACTATTTCAATGTTGGAACTTTGATATGCAAGTGCTGTGCATATTTCGTGTGAAGTGTGCGTTTGGAATTGCTTCTTTGTTTAGCTTTTTACAGCCTTATCCTTCTAACACTATAATGGCAAAAAATTTTAGTGTATAAATTGCAGATAATTTTTAGCTGATGCGCGCAATCAGGTTTGAGAGTATTCAAGTTTAAGTTGATAAAGAATGTGAAGGAGTTTTACAACTTTCCCTCTTTAAACTACTTCTAAAACCTTATTTTCATGAAGAGATGACCAAATCTATCTCTAGTAAAAGTAGTTTTTTGAAGTGACAAAACCTGAACTGGCACATTTTTTTTTCTCTAACTCCACAGGAAATCATGAGGCCTTGACATAATTCATTGTGACTTCCAAAGAGAGGATGGACTAAGTATCTTTACTAATCTGTAACTGTTGCAGTCCCGCTTCAACCTTCAGAAAATAAGATCACATCATATATGTGATATTAATTACTTGAGCCAATCGTACATATTCTTCTTGACTTGGGTGCATTTGATACCTGGGGTCCTGAATGAAATTACAGTTTCCTTGCCTTTCTAAAGAAGTGCTCGTTCACGTTAAAGAATAATTTACATAATTGCAAATTTGCAAGTATGCGTGCACTCACATAGATGCACATTTATAAAACGTTCTCCACTTCTGCTACAGGAAGTTTATACTTTTTTCCTATTCTCTGAGTCAGGTTTCATCTGGAAATGCTGTTTCTGGCAGCATGACTGGTGGTCATGTATCAAATAGATCTGTCCCTCGGCCAATGAATGTTGTTGGCATGCCAAGGATGCCTCCTATGCAAGCTTATAACCTTGCATCCCAGGCAGGGATGGGTGGTGGAATGAATTCTAGTGGCATCCCATTGCCACGAGGTGTTGCACAGGCTCATCCGCAGCAGCAGGTTCAGTGTTTTGTTTTCCCATGTTTCTGTTGGGACAAAAAAGGGGGAGGCGGGCTCTGAATTTTCATTCTCCTTTTCTCTAATGATGTTCTTGTTTACATCGTTGAACAGTTGAGAAGGAAAGACGGTGGAATGATGTTGCCTGGATACCCTCCACAGCAAAAGTCGAGGCGTAACTAAGGTAATGCAGTTTGTTCCATCACTTTTAGTGGCGATGTTGACTCATATGCTTATAGTAATATTTTGAGTATCCTATCTGGTGGAAATATAAAAATTTATACTAGTTCAGGCTATTTCTCAGATTTTCTATGAACAATTTTTGTGTGTATTTAGGAGTCGTGAGAATTCTATGTGAAATACCAAAGAACACTGCTTTCTTAGATAGCTACACTAGGATTCTATTTTTCTTTGGGACCCAATGAAGCACCGCCTGGTTCCCTTGTTTAATATTCACTATGTCTTGTGGCAGAGAATAAATGGTGTATAATATTCTTCATGCTATAATTTTCTGCCAATATTATTGTTTCTGTTGGCATAACTTACGTTGTAAATTGGACCTGGAAACTCCTTAGTATTTTTGCAATAAAGCTGAACTGCTGTATCTCATGGTTAGGTTTTGCCTGTAGATATCAAGTACAGATAGATTGTGGTGAACATTCGAGTACTGGGAACTCATTCAGGAACCCCACTTGGAATGGTTTGCCTCAATTGGGTCCTGGCCTAGTGCAGTCAAAAAGATCATTCTTGCCATGCACTGGAATCGGGATGCTAAAGCATGAGCTACAATGGCCAATATGCCAATGGAATCCGTTGGAGGGGATAAAAGTAGTGTTGGTTAAACTACTGGAGTCATGTGTATATCCTGGTTTCCACGGTACAACCTCGTATTTTAATAAGACTCCCAAAGCCTATAATCTTTCATCAAAGCGTCCAATAGGCGTTTCCTCAGACGGAGTAGAGAACTTATGTTGGTACAATCTTCCGAGGGACTTAACGTTGAAAAATTAAAATTTTGTTCCCTTTGATCTTTATGATTAGGTGGAATCAGATTATTTTAGACAGATCTTCTACATTGACATGGTGATTTTTTTTTTAATTAAACATTTTTCTGTAGTTGTAATTGATTGTGAAAGAATCTTGACGCAGAAAAGTAGCCAAATCTATGGCGTCTTGGCCATGTGGTAGAAGCTGTTTTTATGTGATGACAGATGTATTTTTTCTGCTGGGAAGGTGCAAAAAGTTTGGAGATTTTTTTCCCCTCAAAAAGCAACAAAAGAATTAATGTTGTTTTTTTGCTCAAAAAAAAAAGAATTAATGTTGTTCTTTTAAGATGAAAAGTACACATACAAAATCATTAGTTATAATTAGTTTTACTTTTTGAAACCAGTAATCCTAAAAATATGTTCTTCTAAACAACTTGGAAGAAAGAAAATACTTTTTATGAAAATGTTGCCAAACACAATAATATTAATAGAAATACCAATTACATAGTTTTGCTAAATGCAAATGATTTCGTGTTATGAGATATTAGTTAAAAATGAACGAAGATTTACAGTAAGGCAACCGGACTTGCCTTCTTTTTGGGTGAGTAACGAGACATTGCTTGATCAGGATGGAGTTTTGAAGTTACCATTCCACTCACCAAATTTTTTTTTATTGTTTTGTTTTTGGTTCCTCAATTTCAGGAATTGAACACGAAGGAACGATCCTTGTGTTCTCTTAATTTTCCCATGATTTTGTCTCGTCATGTCTTTTCTTTTTCGTTTTTTTAATTCAATTACTAATCTTTTCCTGTCTTCTTGTCAGCTTGTTAATAATGTACGTTCTCTTACTTTTCTATGACCGTTTCTCTGATTTTGTCTTGTGATGCCTTTCTTTTCTTTAATGAATTATTACTAATCAGTGGTCAACCAGTCAATAATTCATTGGCTCCCAAAATGGGTTTTGGTCTGGAAAATAAGAGGAAGAATGACAATTAAGTTTGAAAACAGTAAATTAATAATAGTTAAGTTTTAATAAAATTTTTTATAAAATGAATTATAAATATCAATTTAAATCGTTACGAAATGTAAACACAAATTTTTATTATAATTTAAGAGTTACATTTAATATTTAAATATTTATTTATAATTAAAACTTTTTATTTTATAATTATTTGAATTGACATTTTTAATTAATTTTTTAAAAAGATCTATAAGAGATTTAACTGTCATTCTCCAAAAAAAAAAAGAATGCAAATTTAGGGTTTTCATTTTCATTTTCTAAAATAAAACAAAATAAATCAGTTGTTCGTCATTTACAAGATTTATAATTAGATCTTGAATAGGGATTAAAAAAAACCAACAAAGCTTTGCGTGCTCTACAAACTACTAGCCAGTTGATTCATGATTGGACTTATTGCAACGAATAAGATGGTTTTCTCCTCTACATTCCATTCTTGTTCTCTAATAATCGTTTACTCCACGCCTCCCAATTGCTTTTCTTTAATGATGTTTACCACTCCTTCTTCCCCATCCATTTTCTATAACTATTCCTCTAACATTCAATGACCACGTCACACCCAGATATAAATCCCGTTATTATAATTTATTTTTACCCAAATTTTAGTTTGGCAAATTTCAGGTTGACAAATTTCAATTGTGCAAACTTTTAACTAAACACATTCCATGACATAATAAAGGACTAGAAGATAGGCTCGTCCTCAAGAACAGGGGGGCTATCTTACAGTCCAAAGGTTTTGAGCGCGCATGTACAAATACAAAAATCTATAAACCATCAATGAATGCTTCGTTCAACTAGTAAAAAAATTATACCTGAAGCATCAAATTCGAATTGAATAAACGTATATACGCTACTTTAACTACTTGCAAGACTGTCCCCCCTTTTGTGCTTACGAGTGGAATTATGAATAAATTTTAAATCTAAATATTAAAAGATTAGTATTATTTTTGAAAACTTTAAAGTTATTGGTTATTCTGTCATGCGTTGGTCATTGACTCTCCCTTTTTTTGGGGGATAGAAACTCATTGACTATAAATACCATATGGTTTACAACTTCTCATCAGCATCATGATGCAATCAACATATAACATTACAAAGCTTGACTTATTTGTTCACTATAAGGATCAAATTAATCACCTTTTTAATATAAATTACATATCAAATTACAGTTTATTTGAACTTATATTAAAAAAAGCCACACTATTATCACATTTCACAGAAGAAAATCTTTCGAATTATATGTACATACACAAACGCGCGGGGGCGCGCTTCCATCATGGATACTCGAGGACTAATTGACTATGCAGTGGAAGTGGCGGAGAAAATTAAAAGTGCAATGAATATAATAAAACAAATTTTCACATTATTAATTTTATTTGGGTATATTTATAATTTGGCTGTTGTAATTATATAACTTAGTTTTGTAACAAATATGAAAATGAGGAAAAATAGATTAAGCATGAAGAATCTTTTGTTAGTTTCTGGGGAAAATCAGATTAACCTATCTATTCTTCTGTTTTCCTCTTTATCCGAAAAGTTTTTCACTGGAAGACTCAACAGTAATCGTTTATTTACTTAGTGGATCAATCCAGACAAATCCGACGGCTACAGCGACACAGAGATAACGCGTTGGATTCGAGTCTGGGAGGGACGAATCTAATTGCTTTTAGCTTGCTCTGCTTCTCCAGCCCAGCTTCATCATCCGATTTCCAAAATTCCAGGTAAATGGAAAGCTTTCTCGCTGCCGTTTTTTTTTTTTCCCATTTTTAATTTTGGTACTGCTGTACGTTCAACTGTGTCGATTTTCTGAATTATGTAATGATGATCTAGGATTGTTAATCACTTCTGGGACTCCTTTTGGGTGTAAGCTTTCACATTTTTCTTTGATAGATTTTCGTCTTCTTGGTGTTGTTCATATATTGATTCAGTGTGTAGTTATTCTAATTTATTTATTCTAAGTTTATTCTTATATATTAAGTTCGTAGTTATGTGGGTGCAACTAATCTACGGAAGGGGAAGTTTCTTTTCGCCACTTTCAATTTAACAATCGTCCTTTTTTCTTGAAACAATTGTTTTATTTGAATATGGAGGTTGAGATCGACGTTTACGTTTTGAGAAAGGGTATGTTTGATAGAACTAAAAATCTCGTAATGTTTTGCAAAAGAAAATATTGGCATATAGCGGAATAAAGAGGTTCTATACTTACAATAGATTTTTGTCATTTAATGATTCAACTAAGGAAAGGGTTATTTTTCTTTACATATAAACGGTGGCAATGAGATTTGAACCGACGACACGACTTACCCCAAGTTCTTTCCACTGGACCGCACAAAAGGTCTAGTTCTGAATATATTCCTTCAACCCCTATATCGCAATTATTCATGGCACAGCTTCACCTATTCTCATTTTCGGTTGGTCTTAAATCACCCGAGTTATTTTTAGTCCTGAGACTTTTATTTTCATGCCAAGTGAATCTTTGATAAGCCTTTCAACAGGAAATGCTGCTCTCTGTGACTCTTTAATTTGAACTTTTAGATGCCTTAATAATTCATTATTCAGATTTTTGATGGGGGATTTCATTGCATCTCAGGTTAATAGAAGGCTTGGATTAGCAGCATTGAGATTTCTGTTGTCATGTAGATTGTGTATAAGTTCATCTCTTGGACATGCTGCAACAACTTGCAGTATGCTAAAATCTTCTTGCGTGTTTTTCTGCCGTCAAATTTCAGTATCTGTTCTCTTGTTAGTCATAGTACTTAATGCTGAAGCTGGCCTTATGAACTTGATTAAGTGAATCCTATTGAAGTGTAATGGTCCAATAATTTTACATCACAATTGTATGTTTGAATTTAAGCACTCAGCCATTTAACTGGGCGGAGAAAGCTCATCAGAAATGGTAAAGGAAGAAATCAGCAATGATAGTTTCTCAAATGTTGAGACTGAGGATTCAGAATCTCACTCTCAACATAGTCCTGAGAAGGAGACAGGCTGGACAAGGATGAACTGTCGTGTGTGCCAGTGTGCTGAATCTGATAAGAGGGGAGATGCTGCTCTAGAATTTTTGGGCATCACTCCAGTTTTAGAACCTGATGTAAGTAATGTAGAAGAAAAGTCAGATTGCGAGGAAATTTCTAAAAACGCATCTCTTAAGAGAATTGTTGGAAGTAAATCTGGGGTTGTGGAGTTTGTAAGCCCTGATGGAGAGGTCTTCATTTGCAAAACTGATTTAGAAATGGGTCTTTCTCATCGAGACACTCTTATTGAACTTGGTTGTTGTTGTAAAAATGACCTTGCTGTAGTACACTATGCATGTGCACTTAAATGGTTTGTCAATCATGGATCTACCATCTGTGAAATATGTGGAAATGAGGCAAAAAATGTCAGAATTGCTGACTTTAATAAGGTTGTTGCTTCTTTGAAAGAGTATGAAGCATTGAGGGAAAGAACTGCCATTGGGCAACCCAGTCCTGCTCAAGTTCATGCAAATACTGGTGTAGATCCTGATGCTGTGGCTGCTATCAGGAGGCTACGGCTAAGTGAAATTGCACTATGGTTTTGTCCTCGTAATAGCAGTAACAACAACAATGTGGACACAGTCGCTCTGGTCGTTTCTGAACAACCTTTAAATACTGTTACTGAAGATGCAGCACCTGTCCAAAATCCTGCAACTAAGTGGGCAGTAGAGATTACTGGGATCCTGCTTGCTACTGGGCTACTTACTGTCATCCTTGCATGGCTCATAGCTCCTCGTGTTGGGAAGGTATGCAACATTGAATTGGTCTATTAGCATGGCATAGGAACCTAAGCATGCTTTCTTTTTTACGTCAAGAGGTTCAAATCTTGGTCACTACCCTTATCCATGCCACCTTACCCCAAGGTGGTAGAACCTAAACATGTTGACATGTTCATGTGGAAAATTCTCGATTCTGTCTATGCATGAAAATGGTGAAGCACACTTATATTCATGCATAATGCGTAACTCTTAATTGGCCCAACACAGCCTGTAGAGCCTGCCAGTTAATTCTGTGTCTCTTGATCTGGTAAATCAAATGTTTGATTAATTGGTTTAGTTACTTGTTAATTACTATCAATTTGATATAATATAAAGAGATTTCTTTTGTCGATTTAATATTTTATCCACTCTTAGGGGGGAAAGAGTAAAAAAGCATGCAGCTGAAGTAAAAATCATGTTCACCCTTAGAAACGTCAAACTTCATCAGTGTATTGGAATGAGTGGCATCTTGTCAAAACATTGGAACTTTGGAGTTTTCTGTGTGAGATTTGTTAACCATTATACGAGTGTAGAGATTGAAGATATAAAATACATAGATCCAGGGATGGTGAGGATGAAGATTCATCCGCATCCAATTTTCAGAAGCAAGGACGTTTTGTTGGTAATAAGGACACTCTTATAATCTGATGGATGAGTTAAGCTGGTTCGTATGTCTTCTTTTTTACTTCTCATGGACGCAAATAGCTGGCAGGTTCTTAGGAAACAGTGGAGATTATTTTCAGGATTTGTGTCGGTACATATTGGCTTCTGTTTCTCTGTTCGTTTTAGCAATATGTTAGAAGCGTATGTGTGATTCCATTTTATATATTGTGCAGAAAACTGCAAGAAGTGGTCTTCATATCTTACTTGGAGGCATTTGTGCTTTGACGGTTGTGGTTTTCTTCCGCTTTGTAAGTGCACCATGACCATTCTTTGGTCCTCTTGTTGCATTTTGTTAAATAATATCAGTTTTAAATTATGCTCGGTCTAGACTTGATTATTTTCTAAAAGTAGAACTTCAAGAGAATAAGGGACCGGGTATACCTGATAGTAATACTTTGCGCACAATTGAAATATGACTGCGGACAGGTGAATTAGTTATTGGAAACATTAACTTGATGTTGGTGGCATGATTTTCTATTTTTCTGTCGAAACTTATTACTGAAACATGTTAATAACTAAATATTGGATTTCTGGAGTACCGATTCCGGGGACTTTTGAAAACATAGAATCAAAAAATATCTTTTCACGAGTACATCACACGATGAACCTTCTAGTCAAGTGTCAGGCCTAAAATTGTTTTTAATCTTCGATCGTTTTTGATGTCTCGGCCTTAGAGTTGTTCTTCTCTAGAACTTCTGTGTTATCTAAAATTTGGGAATTCCCATTTCCAGTGGGAGCAAAGCTGCAATTGTTTCCAATTTCGGGTTCAATAAGAAACTAAATATTGTCTGCTTTTGATTGTTGCAGTTCGTGCTCACCAGAATTAAGTATGGACCTGCACGTTACTGGGCAATTTTGTTCATTTTCTGGTTTCTTGTGTTTGGAATTTGGGCTTCACGGACACACAGTGCTCATACGACGTGATTACTTAGCACGTCTCTTCAGCATAGTTACATTGGCCCCCGCCTTATTTCTCTTCTTTACTCTCATTTCCTTCTGACTCTGAACTTGAAGATTTTTAATTGAATTTCATTACGGTGGCCCCTAATCAGTCTATTTACTAGATTTGTAAATTGTTCAAGATCAAATATATTGGTTGCTATCTAGATTTCTTGATGCGCGTTATAGTTTTCATATTTAACATTCTTTAATTTATGTTTGCACTTGGATGGGCCTATGTTTACGAGTCTCCACGTTTTAATGAAGACGGGTCGGGCCTGGACCTTACCTAGAGGATTGCACATCATTTTTTTTTTTAGGTACGCTAGGCCTAGTCTCATTTATTTACAAGGAATTTGGGAATATTATAATTTCTTATATTTTTATGTTTTATATTGATCAATAATTATTAATATAAAATATAAAAATATAAGCAATCTCAAGCCCATTCTAGTTCAAGCTGAATAAACTTAGTTACCAATTTGTTAAAAGAAAAAAGCTGATCATTTTTATATGCCAAATATTTCTTTGGTTCTTTAAGAAGTTTGTTTGCATTTTTTTATTCCTTGTTACTTTTTCTTTTTTGTGTGTTTATTTTCAATTATCCCAAATTTTAGAAATTTTATAGAAGTAAGGTCCTCATAGGCACAAGAGCTTCCATTAGACTTCACTATTGTTCTAATATAATTCCATGACTATTGAAAATTATATATATATATATATATATTTGGCCAAAGACAATTGGAAGTTAGAAGCATTTCACAATCCACTTAAAAATACACGGTGAACATCTTGGCGATGAATTTTTTTTTAAAAAAATTACTTTCTAAATAAGCTGCCAAATATATTTGACCTAACTTCTAGTATTCACTTTTTCAGCACTCGGTAAATTAGAGGAGAATGATAGTTAAAAAGGAATAAGAACCTCTGACATGACAAGGTAAAAGGAATTAATCTTGTAATAAATTTGCAGCCCACAGCCTTAGATCATAGGGGGAAGTCACTTGGTAAAAGGAATAAGAACCTCTAACATGACATGCATCAGAAGAAATCCCAATTCCCAAACCTTTGCAATGGTGAGGTTCTCTCAATTCTGAACCCAAACCCAAGCGAAAGAGTAAAAGGTGGTTATTTTTTGTGGACAATCTCGGCGGCAGGAAGCAATACCATGGAATCATTTTTTTTTTACCTCAACTTGAAGCCTTAATTGACAACCCAGTTAAGAAACAGCAAAGCCGTGCATGGTCATAAAGTTTCTGACATTAACGAGGAGATTGCCATATTTTCTAACGGTAATTAACCCTGAAAATTACTCCCACAGAAAGGAAGGAGGGCGTAGATGATGAAGATAGGGAAAGTGGGATTGTTGGTGTTCATAGTTCTGGCATTGAGCTGGTCTTCTTCAGCCTGGTTTGGTGGTAAGCACAAAAAGGAAAGTCAGTCCATTCTAGCAGGTGAAACGACGTCGTCATGGGTCGTAAATCGTGCTGGGTCTTCCATTCTGTTCCGGGTTCACGGCAACGTTTATCCTGTGGGGTGCGTGACATCCTCGTTGTTTTCTTTTTGCCGACAGTTTTAATTGTGCTGTCCTCTGCTGTAGCCTTTAGGCTCGCCTCTGGCCATTCTAGTTATTAGATAATTAAGAGTATTATATGATTAATCTCCTTGTAAGTTCTATATATATATATATAGAGAGAGAGAGAGAGAGAAGAAAAACACACCTCCTGGGCCAGGTAATAAGCCTACCATGGCTCAATGGAGAAAAGGAGATAAAATCATGATTAAATAACTTTTTTTTTTTTGAGCAATATGATTACATAACTTCATAGTTCTAAAGGGGATGTAAAAATTTTATCTTTTGCAGTTTTTACAATGTTACTTTGAACATAGGCCAGCCACCGAGGCCTTATTTTCTTGATGTTGACTCGGGTAGCGATCTCACATGGCTCCAATGTGATGCTCCTTGTACCCGTTGTTCTGAGGTACAAATTCTAAATCTTAAATCTGCAAAACGAGGCAAAAAGCATCGTCTTTGCAGGTACTTGTGACTGTTGCGATAAAGAACAAGTCCATTAAGTTTTTGTCGCTTAATGTATCAGACACCGCATCCACTGTATCAACCCAGCAATGACTTAGTCCCCTGCAAGGATCCCCTCTGTGCATCGTTGCAACCATCTGAAGAGTACGAGTGTCAACACCCAGATCAATGTGACTACGAAATCACGTACGCAGATCATTATTCATCTCTTGGTGTTCTTGTTAGGGATGTCTTCATCCTCAACTTCACTAATGGAATGCAGCTTAAAGTTCGTATGGCACTTGGGTTAGTAATTCTACGAGTTTGATAATTAACTCGACCATTGATTATAATGAATTATCGCAGCATTACCTCCATCATTGTCACTTTCTTTCTATTAATGCACGTTCTCTGGAAATTTTGGTGTGTTCTCTCGCCGCTATCTGAATCTGAGTTCCTCTTTACTTGTTCTGTTAATTACAGATGTGGGTATGATCAGATATTTCCAGCTTCTTCTTACCACCCATTGGATGGAGTACTTGGGATTGGCAGGGGGAAAACCAGCTTGATATCACAGCTTAATGGTCAGGGCTTGGCTAGAAATCTTGTCGGACACTGTTTAAGTGCGCAAGGTGGAGGGTACATCTTCTTCGGAGATGTTTATGATTCTTCTCGGCTTATTTGGACACCAATGACATCTAAAGATCATTCGTAACTACATCTTTAGAACTCTGACACCCATTCTACATTCTCTCACATGCATTTCAATGATTCATAGTTGCTGAACTTCTCCTGTTGTAAAGCCTTTCTTTGGAATTTGTATCAGCAAACATTACTCAGCAGGAGCAGCTGAACTCATTTTCGGAGGGAAGGCTATGGGGGTCGCAGATCCTGTTACTTTTGACAGTGGCAGCTCTTACACTTACTTCAACTCTAATGCCTATCAAGCATTGATTTCTTGGGTCAGTTGAAAGCAACTTTCACTATATTCCCCAATTTTAAGTATCATAAGATCTTCCAGAATTCATCAAACAAGATAGGAAGTTTCTACTTTGTAGAGTTATATTGTGAGATTAGTTAAGACTGCTATTTGTTAAATTTTAAACTGCAGTTGAAGAAGCAATTAGACAGGAAGCCCATTAAAGAAGCCCCTGATGACCTGACTGTTCCTATGTGTTGGCACCCTAAAAGACCATTCAAGAGGATAAGTGAAGCCACGAAATACTTCAAGCCTTTGGCATTGGGTTTTACCAGAGGTGGGAAAGGTGAAGCTATGTTTGAAATCCCTCCTGAGGCCTATCTGATAATATCAGTGAGTCCTGACATCTAACTTGCCCATTTCTTTGAAGTTGATGCATCGTTGCTATCTGTTATTGGCTATACCAATTTGTTTGTGCAGACCAAAGGAAATGTTTGCTTAGGCATTTTAAACGGCTCTGAAGTGGGCCTGGGAAATTTGAACTTAATCGGGGGTATGAATGTTAAGATGATCACTTCTCTTATTAAAACTGACTAATCAGATGGGTTTTAAGCTCTGAATTTTTTGTTTATGCAGACATATCCATGCTAGACAAAGTGATGGTATTCGACAATGAGAAGCAGTTGATTGGTTGGGCACCCGCAAACTGTGACCGGGTTCCAAAATTCAGAGATGTCACCATCTGATCATAGGCAAGACATGTAAATGGCTGGAAAGTACAGGATGATTGTTTATCTCTTCATTATTTGTATGTATATTTTCTTGTCAAGTTATCGATGTGAACATACAATACATAGAATTTATTTGTACAGGGTACTGAATGGCAAATAATTAGTCCTATCACAATTTGCTCATTTGCCTGCATTGTTGTGAGCTCTTAATTGACATATCTCGTGCGATAGTTCTAGCCTAGCAAGCATCTTCTCCCTCCTCAGCATGTCAGAACTATTCAAAGTATGGAGCATGAACTTGATTAATAAACCTGCTTTTCTTAATCCGTATTATATGTTCCTTGTACATGGCTTCTGCGGATAAAAATCTTCAAGTCCTAAACAAGAAGAAAGAAGAGACCACAAAAGGGCCAAAACCTGGCCCCCTTTTATCACAATCGTTAAGGTTAGGTACTTCTTTACATTTTTGAAAAAAGCTTTTACTTTAATATACTTTTTCTGGTATTATTATGTCCAGCGGCAATTCTGAACGGAGTGATTTATTAGTCTAATCGTTCGTGGTTCGTCAAACATGAACGCTGGCTGCAAGTTACGGGGCAGCACTGCGAAACAGAGGTCCAATGCCATCCTATTGATAATGCTCAAAAAAAGACTGAAACATATGTCGATGTGTAATGTGAATTGAAAAATGGAACAATATATTACAAATCATATGAAAAAATTCCGCTAACAATCCCAATGGAACAAGAATTTCCCTCTAGACCCCTTACAAATATGGACACTGTAATCCTACGCAACCCATACAAATCGAAACGAAATGTGTCTGCTGGTCCTACATTCTCTCTCCATTATGACATTCCTACAGCGAATTAATAATATGTGGGATCCATGAACGCCGTTATGGTGAATGTGTGTTTAAAATGGTTTCTGGAGATACATGAACATGTCCTGCAAGGGCGAGAGCTGGTTCATATTCGTTTGGTACTGGACCTGAGGGGCAAAAGCGTCAAATCCTGTGAGGTTATTGTTCAAATTGTCCATGTAATTGAAATCGAAATCGAAGGCACCGTCTTTCAAGCCCGGTGCCAGCTCATTCCACTTGGGCTCACTCTGCACCTCCTTGTCGCAGCACGTGACGCCCGGCGACACCGCGCGCTCGGAGCAGCTGGAGTCCGTATGCAACCTCGGCACCGATTCTGACGTGTCCATGTACAACTGGTCGTTGGCGGCCGTGTTGATTTCTGGTTTGGTTTCATGCTCATCGGCATCGGAGGAGAAGTTGCTCGATTTCTGATACAGGGAGTTGAATTTCTCAATCACACCTTTCTTGTTGTAAATCCGGCACAATACCCAATCATCAAGCTGCCATAACACGAAAAGTAAATAAGAATAGGAACACAAAATTGGAAGTGCATAGAATAGAAGTCGAAACGAGAGAGAGAGAGAGCGAGAGGGATATGTACCCTCAAGTTGTTGTTCTTGCGAGCAGAGCGATCAACATTGGCGAGGCGGTATTCGTGCATGATCCAATTGGTTTTGATGCCTTTGGGGGCTTTCCCGGCGTAGAAAACGAGGGCCTTCTTGATTCCGAGAGGCTTGGGCTTCCCTATGGCCTTATCCGCCCCGGTCGCCTTCCAGTACCCGCTTCCTGCTGCCCTGTTGGGTCTTGATCCATTCGGATATTTTCTGTCCCTGGGCGAGAAGAAGTACCATTCTTTCTCTCCGTATTGCGTCATTTCTGTTCATTCAACATCATTTCTTTGTAAATTGTACTCCCGTTTTTTTATTTTAGAAAACAAGATAACCTTTTAACCTAAGGATTACATTGGATTAAATGTAGTGTTAAAACTGCTTGCGTTGGTCTTCATAACCGCAGACATTAAGAAGAACTTCGGAACGAAATTTGAAAATCCAGAAGAACATGGATTCAAACTCAATCAATCGATTTTTAATTTTATTTTATTTTTTACTTGACTAAGGAAAACAAATTTAGTTCCAAAAGAAAGAAAAAAGGTACCTGGAAGCTGCCAAGGATCAAACTTGTACAAATCAATCTCTTTGATAATAGGAACAGCAATAGACTGGGAAGCACATTTCCTGCACAAATAGTGATTCACCAACTCCTCGTCCGTCGGGTGAAATCTGAATCCTGGAGGTAACTCCAATTCACCCTTCATTCCCGACTCTTCTCTCTCTCTCTCTCTCTCTCTCTCTCTCTCTCTCTCTCTCTCCCTCCTTTCAGCTAACTAACCTCGATGCTTTGGATGGAGTACCGAAATAAAGATTTAAGCTTGAGTCCCAGATTCCTCTCTCTCTCTCTACCGCTTGCTTGCTGGCGGTTGTTCTTGCTGTGCACTGCGACCTGAACCGTCGAACGCTTGCGCGAGACGCGTTTTTATAGTGAGAGCGGGCGAAAACATTTGATACAATTATGACACGTGGGTTTATCAAAGTGGAGCAGGACTAGAGCGGAATAATAATCATGGGTGTGAAAGCAGAACGAAAGAATAAATAGGGTTGGGATTCGCCTTACTGGGCTAAAGGATGCGACGCGTGGCAGTGAATGAGTGGGTTACGGACACGTGTGAGTGAGCCCACCTTCTGGCAATTCTGTCATGGCTTGCGTCAGCTCCCCCGTTTATTCAGTAAGTCGGCTCAGCAGTCAACAGTTATTGCGGGCGTCGTTGACCATCTCAGCAGCCGCTATATGCCTTGGTCCTCATTCAATTGCGCCCTGCTACTCTATGCCCCGCTTCTTTCAGCAACCTTGAACCCTTTCCGTAAAAGTCTTGTTCAACCAATTCATACCTAAAATAAAGCATCACGGAATTACATTTGCAAAGGTAAAATAAAAATATTGAAAATATATAACATCATTTTTCCAAGATTCCGGTTAAGTGAGCCTGAAGTTAATGATTCAGGTCAGGCTGTTTGACTTGTAGCTCTATTGAGAAGGGTTTCCGATTTTGAAGATGGATATATGCGGCATCTTGTTTTACTTTTTGTTTCCCAAACTTCCAATCATTGTATGCCGTGTGGATATGTGGGGAGTGAGCGCTGAGCTTGCGTTGCAGAGGATCACAGTTTTGAACTTTCAAATTCAGCGGAGACCGTCAACTTCTTGTCAGCCAATACGTTTGCAGAATAGCGTCATTCATACTTATCCTGGTGCTGCCAACCCTAACATGCATTCAGATTTTGGTCCTCCATTTTTTTTTCCATTTCATTTTATTTCTCCCTTTCTCATCATTCATTAATTTTATTATTTAAAAAAATTATTTAATAAAATAATTTAAACTTAAAAAAATGAAAAAAAAGAAGAAAAAAATGGAAAAACTCGTCTCCCCATACATTCATTTTCAATGTCTAGAGATTGAATAAAATCTATAAATAGTTACTATTATTTGTTATGAATTTTATTAATAATTGATAAGTTACAAAAATTTTAAATTATTTTAAAGGTTTTAAATAAAATTAGAATATTTTTAAAAAATAGTTTGTTCTTAATTATTTTAAAAGTAGGATTATCCCCTCCACACAATTAGAGGTTCTATCTAGTGGATAATGTTGAAATTTTAATATATTTGATATCATGTAGTTGTATGGAAAGAATCGTATATATGTTTTGAATGGTTCTGTGAATACGATACTGTCATGCAGGAACATGAAGAACTAACAGGCAACAAATTGAACAGCCGCGCGTTTCTCGTGGAAGAACGTTACAATAATGCATTATAATGGCCGGGTCGATGATATTGTCCGTGGTCACTTGCTGCATCTATTATGTGAAAAGTCAACGTTGTGCCCATTTTTGTCCAACCTTTTGTCTCCCCTCAAAACTCTCCTCCTTTTATTTTATATTACGCTATTTGACCCTTCTTCTTTTTTGGCCGGGGCTCCTGACTTGCAAAAATTTTCTATATCCTTTGATATAAAATGGATCAAGTTATGCAATATGCACACCATGCAGTTCTCAAAAAAGGATTCGTGTTAATTACTAGTAATAAAATAGTTAATGACGAGTTATTTTAGTAACAACTAGCAACATCACCTCCAATCCCTTACTTAAAAGAAGTCTCAAGTTTATATTCAACAATGTTTAAATTAACATGTGTAAAAAATTTATTCATAGAACAAGAATGATAATAACATGTACCCAAAAATAAGTGCGTAGGACCAATACTGGACGCAGCACATGATATGTATAGTCAGAAACATAGGATGAAAAGTTATAAAAACAAGATGCTTCCTTTTATAAGTTTTAGCATGTGGGTTTGGCCAATTTTTAGTGCTTTCCCGCCCCTCATTGCTTTGCCTATCTTTTTTCCGCCGGACAAGGCACAAAGCTCTCAGCCAAAGTCCTTTTTGACCTTTCATTCAATGCGCTTTTGAAAACGAAGAGTCAAAAGGGGGGAAAAAATGGGAAAGAAGGCATCCCATGAGAACATTCTCAAGCATCCCAGCAGTAGAGGATAAAACAGAATAAAGAAAAAAAAAACTATGCAATCTCTTGAAGAACCTTTTTACGTATTAATCCCTGAATTCACTTTTGCACATAAATTTTATAATTTTGCGCATATTGTATATTAAGTTAGATTTTTATGTAATTTAAGAGTGCTTACATTTTAAAAAAATAAAACTTAAAATTAAATTTAAAATTTTGGGAGATGTATGTGTAAATTCGTCTCATGTGACAATAAATGTTGAATCCACCGAACCTCACGCCCCTCTTCCCATCTCTTGTATTTGTTCATGTGACGTGGTCACAAATATCAGATTACTTAGCCCCCGCCCCCCCCAAAAAAAAAGGGGGAAAACAAAGATACATATGAAAAGTAAACATATCGTCCGAGCCTCCTAGGGTGACGTGGGCAGGAGCTGCAGGTGGTGGATAAGGATGTCGGTACTATGTGGAAGCTACCTGGATGTTACCTGGCTAAGGATTTCAAGACTTATCTGGACAGGTCCTGAATCTTTTCATGCAACAGGAACCAACCATGTGGTCCTGTTCGGGCAATATCTTTTCAAAACTTCGTGGCCTCTAATTGGTCCGCGATCAGCGGTAAATCCAAACCTTTTTTTAACCTCTTTCCACGGTCAAGTTGATGTGATGACGTTTTGTGGTTTCAAGTTGGCCAGCTTGGATCGCAATTCCCATTTGAAACTGCCTTGACTTTATTGGTTTGTTGGCTTGTTATGGTAAGCTCGTCTTTATACTTGGGCATCGAGCCAAGTCTGCTTCTGCCCTTCCAATTCGCCGCCATTTGGTTTGGGAGTATACTTTAGTTATAAAGGGATTAATTATCAATTATGATAGTAATGAGAGGTATATATTAATCTGAATGTCGGGATGAAACATCTCTGTCAGCACCAAATCTACTTGGATGTATGGAGCAATGGGTCCAAATGAAATGAACTTGCTTGTCTCTTTGTGAAATTACCACTTTCTGGGAACCTTCTACGTCCTTCCCGCTAGCTGTCAACCTTGACTTTTCAACAGTGAACCTTCTTCGAGCGCCAACCTCATTTGTTTGTGAGCGGGCGAGCCTTCAGTTTTAGGCCTCGGCTTCGTATTTGGGCCTCGATGGTGTTCTCGATTGAAGTTGGGCCCCTTATGAGCGCTTTAACTTAGGCATCAAATTCTTCGGCCCACAGGGAAGACCAACGCAATAACAATCTGTTGATTCTTTATAGAGCTATAAAAAAGCCTGACCTCTGGGAAAAACAAAAGGGCGGCAACAATACCGACTAACTTTTTCTCCATAGGCAACCAGTGTTCTTCTGTGAAGAAAAGTGCAGCAGTATTGTAAACTTGCTTTAATGGGTGCATCTGTGCCTAAGCCGTGAAAAATAACTAATGTTGACCATTAAACAGACATCTCATCAAACGGTTGATCAGTTTTTCACTGGCGCGGATTAAAAAACTTACAAAAGCATCTTCACCTTCCACTACCTCTGCAACATCAACAAGCTCAACAATTGAGTTGGGAAGAGAAGCAATGCAGGTGGAGAAGCAATAACGAAGGCCAGACAAAATGAACCACGGGATGGGATTGCTAAACCCATAAAATGCTGTAGCAAAGGTAAGGGTTTTGGTTGCCTAACCTAGAAAACACTTGATGGCGGCACCGCACCATGGCTGAGGTGCTGGAGCCGAAGGTGGAATCAAAGCAAGAGAAGCATTCGAAGCAAAGGCTTTAACAGTGACACTGTACAATGGTCATTCAATCTAATTAGAAGTGAGAGTATGGGCCAACTTAATCTATATGAGTTAAGAGAAATATTAATTGAATTAAGTTCAATCCATTTTTGTATAAGTTAAAAAAACTTCAACCCAACTCAACTCTCAAGGGTTGGCAGGTTAAATGAGCTAACATGTCAACCCATTTATTTGTTTTTATTTTTTTTATTATTTTTTTAAATACACTTAAGTAATAAGTCTCAATTTAATATCTTTTCATTATTCATTTTAAATATACCAAAACATTAATTTATAATATTTGTATAAAATATATAAATTGATCCAGTTAAGTAAATTGTGTTAATATGATTTATATTCACAAAATTTTCTTAATTCTCTTTTTTTTTTCTTAAATAATATGGGTTAAACAGGCTAACCTTAACCCATTAAGATTAACTCATATAGTTTACGGGTTACATGGTTTGGGTTAGAAAAAACTCATTCTTATTTGAATTATTTTTGTTTTAATCCAATACAATCCTTATAACTATTTATTCGAGCTAACCCACCCGACCCATATTACCAGCTTTAAATCTAATGATTCTAACCCATTTTTTCTTCCTAACGATAGTAGACCACCTCCGTTGGCAAAACGCATGCAAAAACACTACTCTGTAACAGGGGTTTGTTTCTATTTTCAAATTCATTCCCTTTTCTTTTCTTTTCTTTTTTTAAATCGATTTCTCTAATTATTGGCGCTACACAGTTGAGCCTTCTTACCTAATAAAAAAAATTGGCATTTTTTTCGAGATGAATCTAAGCTTAATAACCAGAAAATAGATAAAATCCTCGCAACTAGGTGCCTTGGCATCGAGGCTAAAATTAAACATGACAAGGTATGCTTGAAGCTCCTCTATTTTTAGAAAATATACTTACAACATCATAGTACACACAAGCTTCTTCTTCACCATTCTGCCACTGTCAATAGCATTTCCCGTTTGCATCAAAGAACAAACTACAAAGCAACAAGTCTAATTATGCATATTTGAAACACTAAAATATTTAATTATTCAATAAACCAGCCATTCCAAAGCAGTATAAAAATGAAAATATCATGGCTTTCCTCACATTTTACATTGCAAAAGCAACATTAGATCACAATGAATCGCAAAGCATTCTTTCAAAATAGAATACAGGCTTGCATTGAAAAAGGAATTGCGAGAATGAACGTCTAAGGAAGATAATTGGGTGTTTGAGGTTGTAACTTGAGATACCAAGGGAAATCAATTAAAGGATGATCGAAACAATGACAATAGCCAATAGAAGTGAAGATTATTTCATTACAGAGCGTGCTTGAAAATGAAAAAGGGACGTGGCAATGAGTGGAGAGAGAGGGAGGAAGGAGGTGGGAATGTGACGTTAGAAAAAAATCATGTGACATCGGCTTAAAAAAAGTAATGAATGTTAGGTACTTTTCACAACTTGAACACAAGTATACTTGTTAAAGTAAGTTTATGGGTATTGTTGCACATTTCTTTACTTTAGTATATTGAGTGTCTCAAAAGAAAAAAAGTTAGTAGATATTTTTACTTTTTTGCCCAACACAAAAACAGAAAAATAGTTGGCTCATTTTGTTACATTGTTGAAATGTATAGTGAACCATTTTTATTGTCAGCTTTCAACTTAATTCTATCCAATTTTATTAGAAACATGCTGAGCACTTCATCAACAAAAAAGGGTAAAACTATAATTTTGTCCTTGTGAAATTCTTTGAAGAACACTCAGCACCATAAACTATTGGTTGGAGCAATTTTGCTTTTAAAGTAATTAAAATAAAATATTATTTTCATTTCCATTAAATTATCTAATAGTCAATGTTGGAGTCCTAATTAATATTTTTAATAATTAAAGTTGAAAATTTGACTATAAAAGTAAAAATATTTTGTTTTAATTACTTTAAGAGTAAAACTGTTTTAACAAATAATTTAAGATGTTAGGGAGAATATTTTAAAAATAAAAATACATCTTGGCTCAAAAATACTAAGTGAAGGGGGAACATGACATAGGGCCTAGCCCAATAGCTCTCCTCCCTCACGAAAAAAGAAAACATGATATGGGAAATAGGAATTATGCCAATGGAACTTCAAGGTTTCTTTTTTAAGATAAAGCTCCCTCCTCCAAAAATTATTTATTGCTGATCTGCCCCTGGCAAAGTTTAATCCTTTTATGCATTAAACTCTATAATTCGGATAACTATGATCATTTGGTGCCCAAAATACAGGTAGAATCACCTGGGGAGCAATTGCAAGTGACACTTGATGGATTCAGCAAGGAAATTACAAAAACCAACCATTCTCACGTGTGGTACAAGGTAAGCAATGCACGGAAATATATATAATCCAAACGGTACTACACGTTCTGATTTTTTAGAAAGCGAAGGCTGTAACACATTAAATTTTTTTTTTTAATAATTTAACTCAATTATAGTTGGGTTACAGCCATTCAACACATTTTTTATATCAATAATTTTAATATAAAATATTTTATAATTGGTTTCAACTCACACACTATAACATTTCAGATAAATTTTTACCTCCCACATGCCATTAGGCTAAATCACATTTGTCCATCCTTATACTCCCAACAAGTAAACTAAATCACATTTGTCCATTCTTATACTCCCAACAAGTAAAATAAGCAATTTAGTCAATTTTCAACACAAGCCAGTTATTTGATCTTATAATCATGCCATTTTAACCAATCCAAAGTAAACCAAATATTAAAATTACAGTCATCCAACTTGTACGAAAAATAGAAATAGTTTGAAAGGCATGATTACATTTATATATTCATATAATTGACAATAAATAAAAAGCCCTAATATTGGCAATATAACACATTATAAATCATAAATTAAATATCCAAAAAGACATTGGATTTATACCACTAAGCACTGTTTTGAAAACCGGACCGGCCGGTCGGACCGGTCGGACCGTCGACCGGTCTGGTTTCCGGTCTGGTTCAAAGGAAAAAACCGTTTTCAGAGTTGAGCCGTGTTGAGCCGTTTCGGACCGGCGGTCAGACCGGGAACCGGCGGTCGGACTGGGAACCGGATCCGGTTTTCAAAAACCGGACTGTTCAAAAAAAAACTTTTTTTTATTTTTTATCAAATTTTTTTAAAAAAATGACTAATTTTTTTAATCATTTGATATTATAGTGTATCATATAGCTTGTTAAGTCATGATAAATTTAAAATATTTAAGTTTTTTAAGTTAAATAGCAATTTTATATGTATTTCTTATATTTAAATTATTATATACATATATAATTTTTTTTAATTTAATTATTACGTCACCGGTTGGACCATTGGTCCAACCGGTTGAACCATACGAACCGTGAACCGCTGACTTTTCCGGTTCAATGTCCGGTCCGGTTCTGAAAACACTGCCACTGAGCCTCTAGGACTCCTCCACGTGTCACTTGTGGCTCTTCTCCTGAAAATTGTTAACCACATAATGAGACTCGAAAGTCCCAATAACCAAAACCAATTTATGATAGTGTATACAAACAGTTAAGTATGTGCTTACTAAGTGAGGATTAAAAATAATATAATTTCAACAAATATAAGAAATATTACAATACACACAAACAACCATCCTTATATCCCTCCATTAACCTCGAGCCGTAGCCCTCACTCGGTGCTAAATTACCTGGCCAAAGGTAGATTAGCCCGAGCCCTTACAAGCCACCTATTGAGCTCCAATAGGGGCGTATCACGTGGCACAAAAATACAACAATAATAGCAAGTCTCCCAACACCTCCCACAATAATTAAACAAATTCATAATAATATTGCACAATTATACAATATTACAAAATTCATAATTTTCTCAATAATCACCCAATTAATATGAAGTAACACTAATCACAAATTAAAAGCATGGTTACCTTGTGGCTTTTTCAATAAATTATTCCTTAAAATTTCTCTCTCACCACAATCTTCACCAGTAATACAATCTACAAATAACATATTATTTATAAATATTAGTTTCAATTTTTGAAACTAATAAAATAATTCTAATAATAGAATTAAAAATATAACATAATTCCTAATCTCAATCTTAATACAAATCTATAGTTAATACTATTAAGTAAAATTTTTAACTCCTATTTTAATTATCAATAAACATTAATAATCTAAAAATTAACTTCTAAACTAATTTCTATTATCAAAATTTTCTTTTTATTTCATAAATTCGTACCTAAAATATCCAAAAATTAAAAATTGAGTCTCTAGCTTAGAATCATAATCCTATAACCATAATAATTCATTTCTTATCCCAAATAATCATCTAAACCTCAATAAATCAACATATATTTTCAGATCTAGTTTAGAATTTGATCCATAAGCCACAAATTCAAAGATCATCAACAAATTTATACTCTAGAATATTTATTATACTACTGATAACCTCAAAAACCATATTTATTCAACATAAATTTATCCCTCTTCTAGATCTTAAATTTTCTACCACTACAAACTCAGAAACCAAAGAAGAAGGATGATTAAGAAAATTTTTTAGAACACTTACTTAGTTTTGAAAAACTTAAAATCACACCCTAAATATTCTATTAAAAACTCTTACCTTAAAAATTTAGATATTTCGCACCGGCGACTTGCGTTCTCTCTACCTCAGCACGCACGAAGGAATGAATGAAGAAACGAAGGAACAGGTGAGTTTTTATAAAAATTCAGTGGGTCCCACATCTTTTTTTAATTATTTCTTCTTTTCTCTCTCTCCCTTTTTTTATAATAATAATTTAATAATATTTTTAATTAATTAGTTTAATAATTTTTTTAATTAATTTTTTTTAAAAAATTTTAATTTAGAATTATATCCTAAGTTAGATTTAATGATCATTTCTTACTAATTTATTTACCTCTAAATATTTTTTAAAATTTTTATTAATTTAAATTAACTATTAAAATTTAAATTGAGATGTTACAAAGACAATCTTCCTTCATCGAAAAGAAAGAAAATGTTGTGGAGGACGATGGTGGGAAATGGGAATCCTGTTTGCATCTACTTGGACGTTGTCTGGGTCACGGATTTGAATGAAACTACTTGCAATCCTTCACCGCGCTGATCTCCCGAAGGAAAGCAAGAGAAAACTACAGTCTACATGTGGTGGACTCCAGAATCCCAGATAATGTAATTCATTTTTGATCGACACATTTATTTAATTTATTATCAATCGGTGATGATTTCTTTAGACGTATTCTTTCAAAATGGTATCCTTGCAAGCTTGGCGCATGGGCTTCGCATGCTCCAGGTGTATTCTCAACGAACCATCGGGCATTTTCATGGCTTTCTAGCTCTTTTGTAAAACTTTTTTTTTTGTAATTTAAATTATTTCAGTTTCAAATTTCGAATTTCAATTTTTTAATTAAGGTTAATCACATAAAATGCCAACATACTTTTCTATCACAATAATAACAAATAATCTCGTCTTACTAAGAAGTGTCAGTTATTTATATCACTGATCAACGTTATAGTGTTCAATTAAAAACTAACTCTTCCAAACTAATATTATTTTAGCTGAACAGTTAATAGAATAAAATATACTTTTGGTTCTGTAATTTTATATAATGTTTTATTTTGTTTTTTTAATTTTATAAAATATTTTTTTTTAATTTTTTAACTTTGACATCATATGTTTTAAATGATTATTTTTTGTATTAATCATTGTTATTTAAAAAAATTAAGTTTAATATCTTACTCCTTTCGTTAAAAAATATAAGGCATTTTTAATTGAATCTCACCCTCAATAAAGTAATTATCTGCTTTTAAACTAACCCCATTTTTTATATTTATCCCTATTAATTATCCTACAATAAATATAAAGTTATTATCAATAGAGACATTTAAAAATAATAATAATTACACCTCAACAAACTAAAAATGTCTTTTTTTTTTTAACGGAGAGAGCAACATTTAAAAATATTTTATTAATATTTAAAAGTTTAATGTAAATTTTTTTTACTAACAGTGTTTGTTAGGATTAAAAGATTAAAAATACACTTTATAAAATTAAGAAATTAAAATGAAATCTATTATAAATTTAGAAGACTAAAAATATACTTTAACCTAACTAATATTAATCCATAAATTTGAAAAATTATTTATCTATGATACACAATTCTATCTTTCATATCAATTTTTATTTTCACATGACCTATCATTTAATCATTAAATAATTAAATTCACTAAACAAAAAAACTGTGGCGTGGAATTGCAGGAGGATGAGACACGTGGGATGAGCAGGACGTACTACGTTGTCATCCATGTGTTGCGCATGCTTGTTTACACGTCGCAATAGCTCGCCAAGCGAGCCGCTTCCTTGCTTTATATCATCTCTTCCCTCCCAAGCACCAACAGCCATGTCATATATACCACATCGATGCCAATTACACTGCTTCGTGTTTGAACTGATTCTTCTCGCATTCTGACCTTTCCACTTGTAAGATCTCGTCTTTAAATCACTCTCTGTTTCCCATTTACTCTAACCGATCCGTTTCCTTTTGTTTCACCAAAGTGGATATTTATCACTCATACGATGCGATTGTTCCCAGTTTTGATTGAATCTCCAGAAGTCACAACTAATTAGTTACAACGTCCAACTTCAAAGAAAAAAGCAATGTCAGGTGTATCTCTAGCAGTGGGTCCCACGCCTCCCGAGTCGGAACCGGCGGAGACGGATCCGGCCACAGTAAAAGCTCACCGACAGCAACAAGCGGCCGCGGGAGGCCTGATGGGTTCGTTGCGCGTGATAGAGCTTCAACTCGTAGCCTTCATAATGGTGTTCTCGGCGAGTGGTCTCGTCCCCCTCCTCGACCTAGTCTTCCCAGCATTCGCTTCCCTTTACCTCTTGGTCCTCTCTCGCTTCGCCTTCCCTTCTCGCGGCACCAGTTCCTCTGCCTCGCAACAGATCTTCCACGGCAGCAAAATGTTCAGACTCTACGTCATTGTCGGAACCACCGTCGGCCTCTTCCTGCCCCTCGCCTACGTGCTGGGTGGCTTTGCTAGAGGGGACGAACATGCAGTGAGATCCGCCACTCCTCACTTGTTCTTGCTGTCCTGTCAAATTCTCACGGAGAACATAATAAGTGGCTTGTCTCTGTTTTCGCCGCCGGTGAGAGCCTTGGTGCCTCTACTTTATACAGTTCGAAGGATCTTTGTGGACATTGGTTGGATCAACGACGTGTGGCTCCTCAAGAGCTTGCCCGCTAATGCACACTATAAAGTATGTTTCGGACACCGCAGAGGAAAATTACATTTGAATATGAACTGGAGTAATTTCTAATTATAGCATTGCTAATGACATGGATCTGTGATGAATACATATGCAGGATGTGGCGTGGTATTGGTTCGGGAGGAGCTTGGCGGTGGCCAATTTAGTGTATTTCTCGATCAATCTGTTCGGGTTTCTGATACCCAGGTTCCTTCCCAGAGCATTTAAGATGTATTTCGAAGCGAACGGAGAGATCTCCGCGAAAACAGTGGAAGACAAGAGGTCTGCTACCATCAACGTAACCCATCGAGCTGATAAGAAGAAAGATTGAAGAGCTTGTTGCCAATGAGGGCTTATATTTTATAGTTTCTTGCAAGCGTTTTCTTTCTTTCTCCCAGCGACCACGCGTAGATCGCATCCTTTTTATTGTTGTACATTAGCGATGCTTTTAGATATATAAGATTTTTGCGAATAATGTCAGAAATCAATGCTAGGATCTCTAATGTCTCTTCTAATATTCCAACGTACCAATTTCATTTTTCATTTCTTTTTAGATTATTAATTTTTACATAAAATAAGAAATATTTGGATGTCTTAATATTTCATATCGATGAAGATTTGTATTTTTTATAATTTTTTAAAAAATATCATAAATACATTCTTTTATTTTTAAAAAATTATAAAAAATATAAATCTTTATTGTTTTTTAACATCAAGATATCCAAATCTTTTACGTTGAAGCTAATAATTCAAAAAAATAAAAAATAAAAATAAAATTGAGACATTGAAACATTATAAAAAATATTAAAAAAAGACACACTAAAGATCCTTAATCGACCCTTAATCCACAACCCAGCCCCTCCAAGCAATGTGTCTCCCTAACTTGAGCAAGATGATGGCACTGGCATGAATCTCTTCCTTTAATATTTCTTGGGCCTGAGATCCGTTAATTTTTTGGTTTCTACACCTTTGGGCCATTTTCAATCCGATTCGACCAACGGGGCTGCTCTTGGCTGCATTCCATTAAACTTTGGAATTTGCCCACTTGTGTTGGTATTTTTATAAAAAAATTTGACATGCATTGTACTCGTCTGTCCTTGAATTTATTTTCAAACAAGAAGTCTAATATCATATACAATATATGCTTCTGTTCTCAAAAAGTAAATTTAAATACATATTTTTACAACATACTTCAAATAGTAGAAGCCCAGGGCAAACCAAATTGTTGTACGTAACGTAATTGTGCTCGTGACACGAACGGATAAGGATCGAACCATGATGGGGGAACATTGAATCATGAACTTGAAACATATCACTTTGTATGGCGTTTCGTTCTTCAGCTTCATTGAAACTCAGATAAACACGGCATTTATGAAGATAAGAGTTTGAAAAGGATGCCGTGATGTGGAAGCTTCCATTTATTATATTATTGCCATAACGAGCAAGTATCCCGTGCAATGCACGGGATTATATATAATTAATCATTATTAACGTGTGAAATGATAGAACATATTTTAATAATTTTCAAGAATTAATTAGACAATCTCAACTTGAAAAGTGAAGCTGTGTAGCTTAATTCCTTCTCAATAGCAGATTTGCCTATAAAATATGATAATGAATATGATTATATATTGAAACAAGACCAAGCATATAGATAGAAAATGACAGAGAAGATTTAAGTGTGGAAAAAATATGTGAAAGGTACCATAAAAATAGTGATTTTTAACATAAATACAGTAAAAGATTTGTATCATTGATAAAAAAATAAGAATCTATAGGCATCTTTATATCATCAGATGTAGTTCTAGACAACATAAATTCTCAGCATTGCTTATCAATGTACTCAAAAAGAGAAGAGATATATAAGTGAAATGAATAATATAAGAATTTTAAAATAACATTATACAATAAAAAAAGACCAAAGGAAATCATTGTACATATCTACCACTTCGTCAAGAAATTTTAAAATGCCCCCGCAAATTAAGAGTGTATGGTTCACATTTCACACAATATGTTTACAATGAAATAGCAAACCCCATATACGAGTTTACCTTTTGGTGGGGTTGCCAAAGATTATATTGTGAAGGATTTAACAGTTGGTGTACAATTCCTTCATGTTTATATAGTTGTTGTCATGTGGATACTATCTCAATGCTTTTATTTTTCTTGAGTAAGGATGAAGGGGAATCATCATGACAGTTGAAGAAGGTATTGAAATGATACATTTAGAAAATTGAGATCATGGGCCAATGAAGTTAAAATAAGATACGGAGGTTATATTGTGAAGGGATATGCAAAAATATAGATCTAAAAATTGGGGAGAAGTTAAATTAAGGATAGTTATACTAATTAAATAGATTTATTTCATGTGTCATCTATATATAAATACTTGTTCTTCTATTTTATACATACATATATACTTAGAGATATATATATATATATATATATATGCATTTATGTATGCATGCATGTAGAGAGAGAAAGAAAGACAGGGATAGACCTCTGGCTTCTATCGCACGCGCAGATCAAAACCTCAAATGTGCAAAAACAGGTGTGGCCGTTTTGGTATCCTCATCACTCACCCCCACCCTGGTTTCATGAAATTATTTTTGGAGAGAAAGAGGAAGGCAGAGGCTTCGGTTGGAAGCAGGAATTTATTTACTTGTTTCTTCAAGTAGTTAACCACTTACGACAACCTTGAATTGGATACCATGTTATTCTTCTGTCTAGGAAAATAGTTGGAATCACTCTCTCTTGATTAATTATACTTCCTCCATTCTGTTCCAAATTATAAGATACTTTTAGATCAAATTTTATATAACAATAAAGCTTATTAAATATATTTTACAATTTTACTTTTTCAATATAAAAATATAAACTTTTAAAAATGCTCTTCATTTAATACTCTATTAATAAAAGAATATTGAAGAGAGAATATATGGGAAGAGTGATATTAAAAAAGTATTATTAATGAAACCTTATTTTTATCAAAATATCTTATATTTTGGAACGTTAAATCTTTTTTAAAAGTATCTTATAATTTGGACGGAAGGAATATTATCTTTCAGCAACTTTGCTAGTACTCGCACTCTATCTATATTGTTTGAATTAATGAAGAAAGTGCAGTTTTCCCAGAAATTAATGCCATAACAGTACCCAATCCATTTTCAGTTTACTGCTTCCATTGATGACTATGACCAGATTTTAAAACATTATTAACTATCAAGATTCCAGCAACATTTCCTTTTTTGCTTCTCTTATAATCCGCATTAATACCTCTTGTCGAGGGAAAAAGAAAGAAAAGTAATCATACAGATGGACTTTAAAAGGAAAAGGGCCAAGCACATAAGAAGAATTCAATGCTATGCTTGCAAAATTCCATTCAGGTAGCTTAGCATTTAAAACTTGAAAGCACATTGGAACCAACCACTAATTAAATCTTACACGATCCAGATATCCTCATTATATATTGTTATCTCTTTAACTTCAGCGCATCCACGTGAAAATGCCCTTAATAATTATGTATAGAGAAAGAAAAAAGCATATGCAACCAGCTTCTCCAAAGATGGAACGGATTTGACAACCCAGAGCTCCACTTCCTCCAACAAGGTTGATTTTTTTGGAGAGGAAGGGCATGAACTCGACGGATCAGAGCCATGGCCTCTGATGAAAACCTTGTGTATCTAGAAAACCCTTTGTTTCGTTCATATTGTATGGTCCAGAATCATTTAGTCAATTCCACATGCCTTGCACCTAGATTTCTCTTGTTCAATCATCCACATCTTCTCCATCCAAATTCACCTCGTCACTGTCTGTTTAGCCTACCCAACTACGTCCCGTGGCCCACCACCCATTTTGGTTGCCAAACCGCCGAAACCCACTTTCTGTGGCACACATCTTTGGTCTTTTAGTTTTCATCATCATGAATATGCTAAACCTGCACTATCACGCTCAATGTAAACTATATTTGATCATCGGGACTGTGTGTGAGTGATCACAGAGAGGGGGGGGGGGGACTTGAGAAATCTGCTGTTTTATATGTGAAAGGGATGCTAATAAATTTCCCCCTCTTATTCTGCATATTCCTCTTCTTTCTCGGATTCTCGTCACCATTTAAAGGAATTGATCCCCAGCTAATAATTGATAATTATATCGTTATTTTGAAATGTACTTTTGTTTTTTTAGTAACCCATCTTATCTTTCCTCGGCATCAAATAATAACCAGTGGTTTCGGCTTTTGGCCTTGTTATAAGTGATATGAATTTCATACTGTTCAATATTTATAAAATATTATGTGGACATATTCCGTCCTTTTAATTGATGGAAGTCTGGCTTTTGATCTTTTGTTTGAACCTACTGAATTCTGCAGTATACAGGCCAAGTTCACTTCATCAGGAAAAAGAAAAATAAAAAGGAGCGGGCAAAAGCTCAAAATAGGGAAGAAAATTAATGCCACTTACAGTTCTCAAGAAAATCGCAGTGACGAGGACAGTGATTCAACCCATTCCTTTCGCTTTTTGATTTTAGTGATGTTAAAAAAGCTGTTTCTACTCATTTTGTTTCTTATATTAAAGGAGACTGTCGCAACGATTTGGTTGTTCTTGCGTTAAGAATATGGTCTTTTCTTTATGGCCTTGTGAAAAGGAATACAATGTTAAAGCTTCGCCGTGTCTCCTATAAAAAGAAATGGCAAACATGACTCTAGTGCGAGCTTGGGAGATTGTATTTCTTTGTTGAACTACGAAACATCAAGTTCTATTGTGCTATAACAGCGCCTTAAAATGTGGCGAACTACAAAAAGACAACTTCTTCTTAGACAGGAAAATATATATATATATATATATATATAAAGCATTTCAGTTTTGAGAAAGAAATTGGGCCATGCATGAATTATTGTGTATCTATTTGTCCTTGCGTCGTTCATAATGAAGTCTACATTATATACTACCTGTCTCCAAACGTCATGTTTTTGAAAGAACTATGCGGTTTACTGGCGATTGAAGGCAAAGAATGTGACTCTCTCTAATACGTTCTTCCAGTTTCATGTGCTTGATGTGGTGGTGGTGCTCCAAAGCAAGAAGCTACCATTTCGAGTCGTCTCTTTCACAGACTCTTATGGATCCCACAAATCCAACGAAATTTTTACCTTCTGGCATTTTTTAATAGACAGTCAGTCTCTTTAAATTTTTAATTTGCACAGCTTCCGTTCTTAGAACCTCTATAAATGCTCTCACTTCTCTCCCTAACCATTCAGTATCAATAATGCTTAGCCTTCCCAACCCCATATAATTAAATCATCCTTCTCCCTCCCTCCTTCTCCCTGTTGTTAGATATTAAACAAATATTGTCTCTGCTTTCAAGTTTGAACTCTGTCTTTTTCATCTAGGATGGCCGAAAACTCTGCCGCCGCCAACCTTCGCCAACTTCAAGCCTTTGACATCGAAGATTCCAGAGGTGACGTGAATTCAAGATCTCCATACAAATGCTATGATGATGATGGCCGTCTTAAACGAACTGGTACATACTTTAACATAAGTCCCCTGCTTCCAAATTTCATCATTTAGTCCCTGAAATTCAGTGACTTTCTATTCCTTAATCTTCTGTCATTGGAAACCAAAACAAATGTTCATTTCCTCATTCATCTAAGTTTCATTTAACAAATACAAGTGTGTATGAAATGAGGCAGGAACTGTTTGGACTGCAAGTTCGCACATTATAACGGCTGTGATAGGATCAGGAGTTCTGTCCTTAGCATGGGCCGTAGCTCAATTGGGTTGGATTGCTGGTCCCACAGTGATGCTTTTGTTCTCTGTCATCACTTTCTACACTTCGTCGTTGCTAGCAGATTGTTACCGTGTTGGGGATCCTGATTCTGGAAAGAGAAACTACAGTTACACGGACGCAGTTCGCTCCATTCTGGGTAATACTCAGTTTTCACAGAGACAGGGTCTTGTTATAACGCATGCAGTTCAAGTGGTTTAATTAATTCTGGATGACTGGATTTGCAGGAGGAGTTAATGTGAATCTGTGTGGTACATTTCAGTACCTGAATCTTTTCGGGATTACTATAGGCTACACTATAGCAGCTGCCATGAGCATGATGTGAGTAATACTGATATATAGATAAATTTTATTAATGTACTTTTGATGATCAATGACGGTGCTTATCAGTGATTTTTGGTTTGGAAGGTCATTTAAAAGGTCTAATTGTTTCCATTCCTCGGGAGGAAAAAACCCATGCCACATGTCAAGCACCCCATTCATAATCATTTTTGGGGCAACTCAGTGTTTCCTTTCTCAGATTCCAGACTTCGATCAGATATGGTGGCTTTCCACAGTTGCTGCGTTCATGTCGGCCACCTATTCTTTGATTGGTCTTGCTCTTGGGATCGTCAAAGTTGCAGGTGAAAGCAGGCTATTCTTTTTCTTTTTTTAATCTGTATAGATGACATTTTGTATTACAGTCTACGAGTTGATTCAGCTGAGATTTTCTGTGGCAGAAACGGGTAAATTCAAGGGTAGCCTCACGGGAATAAGCATCGGAACAGTAACTCCGGCCCAGAAAATATGGAGGACCTCCCAAGCGCTTGGTGACATAGCCTTTTCGTACACATTCTCTGTTGTCCTAATTGAAATTCAGGTAACCCACTTTGGAACTTGTTATTATGAGTTTATCCAATTATTACAAATCATTAACATCATTTTTAAAACTTACATTTTTGGAAGACTAAATATGGACTGAAACAAAACCAAACTTGAGCAACAAGAAACATTTAGGCCACTTTTGGCTAACAACTGAAGTCGAAACAGGACACCATAAAATCTCCACCGTCGGAAGCAAAGACAATGAAGAAGGCCACACTGATCAGTACTGTCGCGACCACAACATTCTACATGCTATGTGGCTTCATGGGGTATGCAGCTTTTGGAGACACAGCACCTGGGAATCTGCTAACTGGTTTTGGTTTCGACAACACATATTGGCTCATAGACATCGCTAATGCTGCTGTTGTGATCCACCTGGTAGGAGCATACCAAGTGTTTTCTCAACCTATCTTCGCTTTCATTGAGAAAGTAGCATCAAAAAGATGGCCCAACATCAAGAAGGAATTCCAAATTCCAATCCCTGGTTTCTCCCCTTACAATCTGAACCTGTTTAGGCTAGTGTGGAGAACAGTGTTTGTGATGATCACCAATGTTATATCAATGATGCTCCCGTTCTTCAATGACATTGTGGGAGTCATGGGGGCTTTTGGGTTTTGGCCCTTGAATGTTTACTTTCCGGTGAAGATGTATATTTCACAGAAGAAGATCGCAAAATGGACTGGCAAGTGGATTTGTCTTCAAATGCTTAGCTTGACCTGCCTTTTACTGTCAATTGTGGCTGTTACTGGATCTGTGGCTGGTGTCATACTTGATCTTAAGAAATACAGACCGTTCAAATCTGACGATTTGTGAGTTTAATCTTAAGAACAAATTAACTGCAGTGGTTTGTGGGCATTAATATGTTAGCTTGTTTGGAAAATCTGAGGGGGAAGGATATATCTTTTGTTTGATTATGTTTTATTTTTGGGGAATGGGAATGTCCCAATAATTAATCTCTGCCACGTGATAGCCGTTTACTGAGTTATGGAATTCCACGTGCCGTTCTCTGCTGCGTCAACATCTGAGCTTGAGATGGAAATTATGCCCCATGAATGCCAAAATGTCCTTGTCTTGCAGTTATTTTGTTCAATAAATGCGAATTCATCTATCTTGCCACGTTACTCTGTCTGGCATGCGTTCAGATATTTAAATTTCTTTTGAATTATTATTTTTAAGTTGATGATCACAATTCACAACTTTAACATTATTCTATATCTTACTTCATTTAAAATAAAAAATAAAATTCAATAAAAATAGTAAGATTCAAATGATTTGAACATGAAAAAACATAATTTTTTATTCCCATAATTTTATTGAATTTTATTTTTAATTTATGTAATTTTTTTTCAATATTTTCAATCAAAAACACTGAAAAATAAAAACTAGAAGAACATGACAAATAAATGTCATATAATTTTTTTGAAACTGTAAATATTGAAAATATTGAAAATAACAACAATGAAATTTTAGGTGCCAGAAATAATGTTTTGCTTATGAACTTAGATGATGTAAATATTAACGTCGGCATATATACTGAATCTATATTTGGCAAATGACGCTTGTCCCTCAAGAGTCAAGACACTTGCTTGCCAGGTTACCATCTTCAATATGCCAAGATGGACACGTGTTTTTATTAAATAATGCTTTGAGGAGTTAATTTGCTTCGTTGAAGTTGGTTGTAAGAGTTTTAATGCACAAAATTAGTTTGGTGCCAAAGTAGACCTCAGATGTGAATGAACATGATAAGTTACTAAGCTCTCCAGCCTTCCTAATTTGATAATCTTTGTTGTAGTTAGCTGTTCAGATTTTTTTTTCTCAATAATAATAATAATAAGTGGTATCAATATATTGATGATTTTAATTTTTGAAGGGACCATGAGTATAGTAAAAAGGAGAAAATGCCAAAAGAGGAATGAGACTGCAACTAAGAGTGAATAAAGTAGTAAGATGAAACAGAAGGCAATAGTCAGAGACATGTGCTCTATATGCCAGAAAAATACAATTATTTTTCTAATTCTATTTATAAGATAGAAGAAGAAAATTAGTTTTGGTTCAATTTATAATATATTTTATTATTTTTTAATTTATCTTTATTTTTATACTCATATTAAATGTTGAAAAATTATTAAAAATAATTTTTTTTATTTTTATGAGGAGTGGAAGTAGCAACTTGTTAAATTTTAAAATAAAGTTAATAAGATTAAATATTTTTATTGATTTCAATAAAAAAGTTAGAAGTGATGTATAAGTAAGAATAGAATAAGAATTGTTTTAAGAAAGAAAGAAGTGAGAAGTAGATTGGAGGTTGAAGGAAAAGTTGATAAGATACTTTGCTATAGAAAATGATGTTGGAAAATAGTCTAGTACTCCATTCATTTTAAATATAAAAGAAAATAATCAATTCATATAATTTAAAAAAGTCAGTTAAATATAATAATTATGTATGAAATTAAAAATTTTGGATTAGATTATCCCTCCAATTAATTAAATAAATTGTCTAGTAAAAATAAACATGAATTTTATGAGGGATAATTTAATAAAAATATGATAAATACTTTTGAAATTTATAATTTTGTTTATAAATAAAGACAAAGAAATACATGGTATTCCTTTTATATTCAAAAACACGTAAGCATAGTAGTATACCAATAAACATGTTACAAATGAACGGATTGCTTCTGGCGAAGAATTCAAAAGATGGACGAATGAAAGGTGAGAAGAATGGCATTGGGGAGAATTTCAATAAAGACTCCTTGACTATATTTATTTAAATTTAAAGCCTCTAAATTTTTAAAATTCAACTCCAATTTAGGAATACTGATTTAATATTAAATTTCTCATAAAAATGACAAGATTACTCTTTATTTAAATTAATATCATAACTGCCTCACTTCATTTGTTAATTGCCCTACTTTATTTATTTATTTATTTACAAAATATTGTTAATTATCTTACTTCACTTGTTCATTTTCCTAAAATAGAATTAAGTGAAAGTGTACCAATGAACAAGTAAAGTAAGATAATAAACAATAATTCATAAGTAAATGAAGAATATATAATGTAAGAATCAACAAGTTATTTAAAATGATTTAAAAACTTAAAACGAAAACAAGTTACATAGGACAATTAACAACATTGTATAAGTAAATTAATAAGTGAAGTAGAAAAATTCTGATATTAATTTAAATAAAAAACAATTTTATTATTTTTTTTAAAAAAAATTAATATTAAATAAATACTTAGACTATAGTAAAATTTTTAAAATTTAAAACTTTTGAATTTAAATAAACGTGGTAAGGAGTCTTTATTACATTCTTCCCTGGAATTATATGGCCGAAACTTTATTTAGAGAAACGAAGCCCAAGTTGTAGGTGTAAATTCAGTTCCAGCCCCACCTTGTGCACGCTCCTTAAACGCTGGCTACCATCCAATGATCCAATTAATAATTGAACCCCATCTGCCAAGTCAGCAACTGTGCGGATAGTTTTGTGGCCACATAAAATTGTTTTTCAACGATAGCGTCAAGTTCTCTCGCACAAACTAATGGATCCGAGCCCATGCATCAAACCCTCCCAGTAAACATGCAGCACAAAAAATCGAGGGATTCCATACTTGTGTTCTTCAAACGTATAAAACCAATTGGCATGCCACTTTGTTAGAGTTAACATTCACCCAATCATTTCCTTCAATGAAATGACACCATCACCGACGCAGGGTGCCTTGGCATGCTATGAAATCACAGAGTAATGTTGCTTCCTGGGATGAAGAATCTAGTGAATCATTTAAAGCACCTTCATGATGACACGCCCTGAGAAGATGAATCAAAAGTTGAACCAAATTCTCTCATTATCGTTTAATTAATATTTTCTCAATGAGAACTCCGCTGATTCGTTCTGATATAAGATGAATCAATCAGGAAAACCACCAACGATACAGAGAAAGAAAAACTACAAAAGATGCAACGATGCTCTGCAACACAAAAATGAACTCACTGTCAATCAACTTTCCTGTGCTATACGGGTAATTAAATGGGAGTCGCGTCGCTACTTCAAAAAGAAGGAACAAGTAAATAATTCCAAGGCAGATAGGATTCAGTAAAATATAGATATTACACGTCAGAACCAGAACAAATGGATACAAAATTTTTCCGTCAGTAACTGACGGAGTCATATGGTTTTGAGAATTCATCCCACCCACATATGATCTTGATTGAACACCACCGATGACAAACAATTTTGATTTTTAAATTGAATATGCTTGTGCAAAGGACTCATGGGTGATTCCTAGCTCAACCCAACACTGGTGGGTCTCCTAGATTTTGATGCAAATCCACGCTTCCACGATGGCTGGTATACATTCAATAGATCGTTCTATATCACAAGTAACAAATTGGATCAACAAAAACGGGCCGCTCAAGAACCTTCACTCAAAGAATACTGAAAGGTGCTCACAAATTGATTTTACACCCAAAAGAAACAATGCTACATTCATAATAGCCTGTGAAAACCTGGCAGCCACTGGAAAAACAGAAATTACGCCAAAAAATTACTTCACGGCGTAGCCTTGGGGCAACCTCAAAGCCACAAGGAAGCAGTATTTCACCACCCATGCATTTCACTTTCAATCAGAAAAATACATGGTCAAAAGGAGGGGCGGCCAGGAGGGGGCGCAGCTAATACAAGGTTGTGGCCCCTCAACAAAGTAGATGAAAAAACCACCTTGAATGATTAGAAAAGCTCCTCGGAATTGAACTTATTCCATGCTTCCTGCAATTGGCAATCAAATTTTCAGGCAAGAACAAAAGCATTTTAAGTACTCCAGGTTAAGCAATACAATATATAACAATTTCTTACTATCAGTTAAAAGGCATCAAAGTAGAAAAAACTCTTGTTTGTCAAATGTTGAGCCGTTTATACAGGGCCAGATATGTAACTACTATGGAAGCTATATTTAAGCATAAAACTGAGTGAGCTTGCTGAAGTTCATCAAAAGTAAAAGAAACAGGTTATATTCGTCCAAAAGCAGCACAGTCACTAAGTCAACCATTAACAATTCAATTACTAAAATATGACATGCTGCAAAGGTAACATATCGTGGAAGACCTCATACAGATACAACTGTATAAGAAACAATTGATGTTAGAATTTCCTATCTTGATGGGGACTCCATGACCATGAAATGCATACAAACTCATGCTTTGTAAAGAGCGTAGTTTAGAAACCACGGATTAAAAACATAAATACATTATATGCAATGGTCTGCAATACCTTGAGTAAATCAAACACTTTCTCTGCAATATATTTCTGTTGAAGTGTTGCACCTTTCTGCTGCACCTTATCAGGATGGACGCACAGAGTAGCTTTCCTATAAACTTTTCTAACAGATGCCACTGTAATTAAATCAGTCAAAGAAACTGGCTGCCAACCAGATTCAGGCCACAGCACCTGCTCATCGTTCATGAATATGGGCATTAGGTACTCAAGCAATAAGAACAGAGACCAATTGGGAAAAAAATAATTCTGCTAAAAAACTATGAATAACAAAACTATTTAGGATGCATTCAAAATTTAAGAAGAATGTAAGGCTGTGAGCTTTATAACATACAGGCATTGCATGGATCTGGGAAAGAGAAGTTTTAGAGAGATTATCCAGTGCAAAAGTTTATATACTAAATACATACATATTGTAAGGTTGAGAGCAAAGCACGCAAGTTCCCCTCTTTTCCAGCAGCCCAACGCTTAATTTCAACATCCAAAGTTTCAGCAATCCTCTGAAATCAATGAAAATTTGAAATTAGATAGTGAAATAAAAAACATGTCACAAGGACAAGTTTGCATATTTTCGTAGATACGTATACAAAAAGAACATGTCCTTTCAGCACAAAATATTAATAAAAAACAATGAGCAAAAAAACTTGCATGTCTTTCAGCTTGCTCTCTCTGAGTTTGTAGGTCCCGCTGATTCTTCTCAGCCAATGCTTTCGCCTAGAATAAATTGCAAGACGTCAAAAGACACATAGATGAAACAGTTACAAGGAAAAGAGCAAATGACAACAACGTCTTCTAAGTGTTGTTAAAGACGCAGGCTAACATTCTATTTTCAAATATACACAGACCTCATCAAATAAAAGCTCACTATTCTAATCCATAATAAAAGTCCGATTTAACTACCGCACGCAGACCAAGCATAGTAGTTAAAGGGAAGTTATATTATTGAATCAGTAAAAAATTTGTAAAACATTCCAAATATACCCTTGTCAAATGTCAATACTACATCAATTACAATGAATTAGTCACTTCTGAATTTTTAATTATATGGAAGGGCAAAACAGGGGGGAATACAAAATGATCTAGATACTACCAAACTAAACTTATATTTTGGACTAAGCAAAGCTGGGAGGAAAGGACTTATATTATGGACCAAATGAGTATCCTACCAAAATACCCCCCATTACTAATTACACACTTTTCGTGTTAAATTTAGAAAACAAAATCTACTCTTTATTTTTATTTGTACATATTTGGATAATATATATATATATAGATGTGTGTGTGTGTGTGTGTGTGTGTGTGTGTGTGTGTGTTAACAGCAGGTATTTTGGTAAAAATTAAAACAGGATTAAAGTGTATATTTTTGTAGTAAAGGAAATATGTGCAATTTTAACAGCTCTGATGGCACTCTTAAAAAAGTTGTATATGAGCATAACAAAAGTTAGCTCAAGAAAGGCATTTGATTTGGCAATTCACTTTAAGACCAATGAAGAAGTCAAATTAGAAACCATAATACATTAACACATACCGCACGCTCCCGAGTCCTCTGGTGGCGTTCCAACCTAGCTCTTCGTCTCTCCTCACTTTCCCCTTCAACTTCTTGAAATTCCCCAAATGAGGATGGACCAGCTTCAAACCATGAAAGAGAATGGGGGAAATAGTCAAGTACACAGATATGAGACAAAGAATACAAACCATTACCATAATAATAAGCATCATATCAAACATGAAAACCTACTTCCAAAAATTGAGGAAAGATCATCAACAATATTAGTTGATGATGATGCTTTCTTCATGCTTGAAGATCCCCCCGTTGATTTCCTTGTTATGTCTGGTTGAGACTGGTTATCAAACACAGAGTCCTGAAAGCATACAGATTCACAAAATTAATAGGCAAACCTGCTATACAGTCAGACTAAGATCAACAAAGAGAGGTCCTCACCGAAGAGTTTGCCCTGGGAGGCCTTGGAGCACTGTTAGCTCGTGTACCCATGCTAAAAAAGGATTCAAGATCATTTTCATTCTTTTGCTGGTTTGCCCTGGTAGCAGCTGCAGCCTTTTCTCGAGCCTGAGCAGCAGCTCTTTCTCGTGCCTCTGCAGCTGCCCTTTCAACAGCAGCACGCTCTGCTCTAACTCGTGCTTCAGCCCTTGCAGCTGCAGCTCTATCCCATGCTTCCCTTTCCTTTGACTCTGAATTTGCCCTTTCTCTTGCCTCTGCAACAGCCTTTTCAGCCCTTTCCTTAGCCTCAGCAGCAGCCCTTTCACGGGCTTCAGCCTGTGCCCTCTGTACAGCAGCTCTTTCAGCTCGTTCTCGAGCTTCAGCACTAGCTTTCTCAGCAGCAGCCCTCTCAGCTCTCTGTCGAGCTTCAGCAGCTGCTCTTTCACGTGCTTCTCTAGTAGCTCTTTCTACAGCCTGCCTTGCCTTTTCTCTTTCCCTTTCAATCTCCCTTGCTCTCTCCCTTTCCCTCTCAAGTTGCTGCTCTCTTTCTTTCCGCTCTCTCTCCTTTTCTTCCTCAAGTCTCCTTTGCTCCCTCTCCCTCCTTTGCCTTTCATGATCTAACCTTTCTTGCTTTTCTCTATCCTCTTGCACAACTCTCTCATCATTTTCCAAGTAGCTTCTTGAAGCCTTTATATTCTCTCTCTCTCTAACTTCCTTTGCATGCCTGAATTTAGCTTCAGCTCTATCCATAGCCTCCTTCATAGCTGCAGCCGCAGAATTCATCTCTAACTCTTCATTAAGATGATCATTTACATGGTCATCATCATTACCATGACTCCTGCCCATGGAAAAATCCTGAAGTTCATCAAACTGTGATGATGCCACTGCTGCAGCAGAAGCAGACTTAGGACCTTGGGAGAACCGAGAAGAACTTTGAAAAGAAGCCGCCTCTTTAGCCTTCTTTTTAGCATTGGCAGAAGCAGGTCGTGGTGGAGGGGGTCTTGAAGGTGGTGGAGCAGTAGTTGGTTGTGTAAAAAGAGGAATCTCTGATACCGTTAACCATATATCATTTAATTCTGAATTCTCTTCGTATTTAGGAGGCATATTCACTTGAACATCAGGCTCTCTAAAACCAACATAATTGTTTGGCAGTGAAGAAGCCCTTCGGTTAACTGGTTTATCATAATCAGATGGATATGTAGGTATGTCAAAAGGAACCTCTTGAAATTCTTGATTATGATCAACTGGTATCCTGCTTTGTGCTTGTCTCTCAGTACTCCTCACAGAAGATCTCTTGATTGATTCTTTGTCTCTAGACCAATTTGAGCTTGTATTTGTATGTGGAGGACTGCCATCCTTCCTATTATTCATTCCTGATGAGAATGCTGGCACAGATTTTCCAAGCCCTCCAAAGGGATCAATATCATCATATACTCTCCCATTAGAATTTACTGAACTATCATTTTGCATGCTTCTAGAACTACTAAATTTACTAATCTGCTCCAATGGGTCCACAAATTGGCCTGAAGATGAATCATGGGGGGCCGAAGCTGATTCAAATACCTTAAAAGGATCCTCTGTCATACCAGGGGTTGTTTTAGATGCCCTGGCAGTTGGTTCTGAGGACAAACCAATATCAGGAACTGGCCTGTGAAGAAGGCAATATACCTTGAGCTAGAAGCAAAAACTTAAATTTAATATTTGAGTGGTGCAACATAATCTCAAAATGCCCAAGCAAATCAAGTTTAAGATTCGTAATCTTTTTGGTTCGGATAGATTGGTTCAAGATGGGTAACAAAAACTCACTTTTTTCCTGAATTCCAAAGCCCACATGTAAATCAAGGATGCCAGTTATAATGACCAAGCTTTAAGAATACCTTACTAAGAGGGAAACATCTCATTTCTGCTGCTTCTAACTCTTCTGAACTGACTAACTTTCCAGTACAAATATCTACTTTTATACATAACAATAGCAAGTATAACTAACAAAATCTTATTCTTGGACAACTTGTGTCTTCTTTTCTCTTCAATGAAACTTCCTTCCAAAAGTGAAAAAGGAAAAAAATATCAAGAATAGCTAAACCTAATTTTCCGAACTGTATTATGTTCACTTGAATTGTAATTGAATGAATGACTACTGAAAGTGATATCATACAACCAAAAACTTCAGACCATAATTACACAAATGGATAAAGCATCCTATATCTGCATGAAAGATCCACCGAAAATTAATGCATGATCTAAAATGGCTAGCTCCTACCAAACAGCCATTTTTTACTACTCCCTTCTTTTTTTACAATTGTCCCTTTTTGGGGGGGAAAATGTTTCTATATATCAGACGCCACAGGCTTATATGAGGGGTTTTGTTTTTGTTTTTGTTTTTGTTTTTTTTTTTTTTTTTGGGGGAGGGGGTTATGTTTGGCCCGATACTTGCCTCAGTGGAAGCATAAGTCCAGTAAGTTAGTTAATATACCCCTTTATCTCTAGACAACCTGATGGTTGGAACGCGAACTATTGCATACATGATACATCCCAATTGCAACGACTAGGCAGCCACTTAGCTATATCCCAATTGCAAAGAAACTCGGTCTCCATAAAAACACTGTCGCCGTACCTGGCACTAGGGGAGCTCCTGGCCCCAAACCCACCAAGGAGATCATCGAATGCATTTTGATTCACGCTTCTACCGTTGAAGTCTCCACTGCTATCATTCTTTCCCGGTCGCTTCCCATCCGAACTATTTGAGTCACGCCCTGCCTTGCCAAACCCGCCAAGGAGATCATCAAATGCACTACCACCTCCCTCCGGAGCCGACGATGCGGCCACAAAAATGTCATCATATTTAACTTTTGACGAACTCTTCAGCCCAGGAACGCCATTGAAAATGTCATCGTCGTAGACGGGTTTGTCATACACTGGCGAATTCGTGGACTTGGAACCATAATCGCCGGAACCATTGAACATGTAATTCAAATTGAATGACGAATCAGCTTTAAGACTTTGTGATTTGCCCGGGAGGCTCGCAGGAGACCCAAACAGGTCATCGAAAACAGCAGTATCTCGATACTTCTGATTATCCGACAACCCAAATGGCGAGTCTCTGTCAACCATGAAATTCCCACTACAGTTGATAGAATTACGAGCGGATCCGGAGGTGCTGGCGGTGGTATTAGTAGACCCCTTGGATGCAGCCATTGGAGCCGATTTTCCCTGCGGTTTTAACCCGAAATCATTTGCTAAGAGTCCATCGAAGTCGTTCATGGTTTGAGGCAATTCGCAATTTGGAGAATGAAAAGGGTAATGAGGATCTAAAAGATTAAATTTTATAGATTGAAAAATATAGACAAGTTAAGAAAGAATAATAATTGCGAAGAGAGTGAGAAGAAAAGGAAGGAAGAGATCTGGCTGGTGTAGGATATAAGGAGAGGTCGGGTGGGGGCGGTATCCTCCTCCGGTCAGTCCGACGGAGCTTGCTGTGGGGTGATCAGGGCATGCATGTGGTGGGGGGACTCCCTGAGAGGCGTTTTATTTTTATTTTTATTTTTCCCGCTTGCCCCTTGAGAATTTTGCTGCGAAGTCAAGAAGGAACGTTCTTTTAACTGAAGATGAAATGTGATTATGTCTTTTTTTCTTTTTAGGTGAGCCCATTATTGCATAACACGGAATTTTATTTAATTTAAATCAGCAATTTACTTGTCTCTTTTTAGTTTTTGGGTGGGAATAGCAGTCACGTTGATTATTTTAAAAAAGGTTAATGAATAAATAAAATTTTAAATTTTTATTTAAAAACTATCCTGGATCCTAAATTTTTAAAATATATAAAATAAATTTTAAAGTTTTAAATTCATAGCAAAATAAATCATTACTGTTAACTTTTTTAATATCATCACCATGGTATTGAAAACCGGACCGGACCGGCCGGGTCAACCCGGAAACCGGTGAACCGGTCCCCTGTCCGGTCTGGGTTTGCACTTAACCCGGTGAGGGAGTGAACCGGTGTAACCCGATCAACCCGGGTTCAACCCGGTATAACCCGAATAACCCGGTGGGTTGACTGGGTTAACCGGGTTAATATTTTTTCAGACTTTTACCCCAAAACGACGTCGTTTTTTTTTTTTTTTTCATTTTTAATTTTCAGAGCTCTGAGTTCGGAAAAAATAACAAAAAAAAGTAAAATTGAAGTCAAAAAATAAAAAATTAGAGATAGAGCATGCTAAGTCCAAAAATATAGTATTTTATTATTGTTAGACTTTTGAGTGGTTGGATTTGGTTGAATGTTTTTATAATTAATGTCTTTTTATTTAAATTGTATTATTTTAATCATGACCGGTTTGCCACCGGTTCAACCCCGGTTCAACCCTGATTGAACCACTAACCCGTGACCCAGTGCCATGACCGATTAATGACCGGTCCGGTTTTACGTATCTTGATCATCACTGTCCACGCAGCTACTGTAACAGTCAGGGTTAAATTTATAAAAAAAATTCTGAACAGTATCAGTGTAGACAGTAATGATATTAAAAAGTTAACGGTTAGAGTTTATTTTGCTATAAATTTAAAATTTTAAGATTTATTTTACATATTTTAAAAGTTCAGGATTTAAAGTAATTTTAAAGTAATAGTTCAGAGTCTTATTTACTTATTAATTTTTTCAAAAATATTGAATAGTAATAGTATTAGATAATTTCAAGGAGAATGTGTTTTCATAGAGATGAATGGATATTTATTATGACTTTTTTTTGCAGCTAAATGCAGATCTAATTAATTTTGTTTCAAGGGAATAAGGAATACTAATAAATCATGTTTTTTTGGGATTAAATGTCATTTTTATTTATCAACTTTGCCCAAAAAGTCATTGGGCACTCCAAACCTAATTATAAATTAATTATATTTCTCAACGTTTAAAATCTAAACCTTTAACATCCAAACATCATTTGACCTAACAAATTTTGTTAATAGGCCCAGCGTTATAATTTTTTTATATTTTTTTCTTATCCCTCTCCCCCCTTCTCTCCTCTCCCTTGGTCCCCTTTCTCTTCCCTCCAACTCTACAGTGTACACCGCCTCAGCTTAAGCTTGAACACAGTATGGAAGTCACTAAGATTGACGGAGCTGAAGAGGGTACAGCTTCAAGCAAGGCAAGGGCTAAAAAATCAAAGCTTTAATTCCTTAAGTTTCCTGTGATTCTCAACAACGAAATAGAAGCATGTTAAGGGCAAATGATAAAATAATTTAAAAACTACAAATTAAATGTATTAATCTACATCGAACATGCATGGTTGATTATATTGGGTAAACGATATGGTACATAAATATATATCATAAAGAGAAGCACATAGAATTGGCTTATAAGCATATGTTGTAGTCACCTTGAAAACCTAAATGAATAGAGACATGATATAATGAAAACCGAAAGGTGGTGGCAATACTTGCATTAGGAGGCATCGTCATAATCTATCATTGTCCAGCTTTAAATGCGAGACTATTCACTTTGGGTATATAGAGACACAGGAGCTTCCTCGATCTGCATGGCACATATAGAACAGCAGTGCGTTGTATTCCTCGTCTTCCCTTCAAACTTCCTTTTGTGTATGTAGTTAGCTTTTCCCCTCTACCCTCTCTCTCAGCTTTCTTGTCAACTTGCAGAGCCCTAGAGATGGGTTAGAAGCAAGCTTCAATCTGTAAGCCAAGGGCACGGCTTCGACCTCTCCCTCCTCTCCTCTCTCGATCCTCACACTGTAAGACCCTAAAACTTATTTTAACTTGTTTGTCAATTATATAACATATTATGATCATGAAACCGTGGTTAAATGTTATTTACTAAATGTGGATATTTATCTATAATATATGAATGAGAGAGTTGGACAGATGAGTATGATTATGGCAGTAAAAATTGTCATTTCATTTGCATGATCATAGATAAATGAGAGTTTATTCAAGAGAGCAGGGCATTGTAAAAATTCACGTGATACTCACTAGCATTTCGAGACCTTAGCGTTTTGTTTCTTTATTATCACCTTAGATTGGACGAAATGACATTCTATGAGTATGGAATGGAGAAATCTATGGTTTGAGAGTAAGTAAGATGCTTTGGTCGAATTGCTCCTCACAATTGGAGAGTGAGACTAGTTCAATCATACATGTTAGTCCTATATGATTTAATAAACTATGAATTTAGTCGGGAGATATAAAAAGAACAATAAGAGTGAAGCGTGATCATACATAAATAACCATCATTACTATCTTCTATGTTTTGTAGTCATGATTATGCCATATGAATATACATGGAATAAATATGAAATTTATACATGTGAATACATTCTATAGATGCTTTTATGTAACACTGGGCAAATAGGTTACAGGCATTTTTATGGGTTGGGTTGAGCCAACCCTCTAGATAAAATGGACTAAAAAATCTAACCTAACCCTTTTTTTAGGAGCTAGCCTGCAAAACATTGCCAATTTTTTTAACAATTTAAAATTTATATGATATAAATATTATTTATTTATTTTATATTTTAAGGCAAATTAAAAATTAAAGAACTTGTAAAAAAAATATAGAATTCAACCGAGTAAATTTATTTTGTTAAATTTTTACTATTAATTATCTTCTCACCTAGGTGTGTTATTTTTCTCACTGAGAAAAAAAATTGAATATAAATACATATTATTTTTCTCAATAAATTCATATTTGTGACTTCGATTAATAGATCTTATAAAATTAATAAATAATATATATTTAAAATATTTCTATAAAAATTAATAAATCATCAATTTACAAATTATAACAAAAAATTCATCTGCAAGTTGTAATAAAGATTTACATTATTTTTTAAAAGTAAAAAAATATTTGAGAGTCATAAATTATATATTTGAAAAATATTATCATTATTGTGAATTTGTAAAAATATATAATGTGATTAAAAAATTTTAAAAATATTTTAAAAAAAATATGCTAGCCCGTTTTAGCTCCTAATTTTACGTATTAGGCTAGCCCAACCCATTTTAAAAAATGAGCCAATTTGTTCAACTCAACCTGTCAAATTTGGCATGTTAAATTGGCTAGCCTATAGGCTTAACACTTTTTCTCAACTCCACTTTTGTGTGTCATTCGTTCACGTGCTTAAATTTATAAGCTTGGTTATCAAGATTGTATGATCTCATTCTTGCGTTTTAATAATTTTCAAGTGGTACTCACATTTTGAACAAAAAGAAATAGGTGAAGTTAGAGACATGTGACTGAGTGTAATGTCATTAGTTATTATTACTGTGTGATTTGAATATTTTATTGCAAATGTTGTAGGTCACTTGTATGGATTTATTTATCTTTCGCTTGTAATTTATGAAGTTGACTTAGATAGTGACATGAACTTTTATATGTTTTTGTTTATAAATCAAGTTATGCATGTGAGTACATGTTATAGTTTGCATAATTTGTGAGAATTGTTATTTATCTCCAATTATATTAAACTTATAATTGATGGTAAGTATTGGGAGGCATAACTTGAATGCGAGTTAAGTGTTATGTATATATATCTATGTGTGATAAGAAGGTTTGGTCTAATTATGGATGCTGGTGGCTAAGAAAGAGTTAAAAGTTTAAGGACTTTTGGTTGATGTAGTGATTATGGTTGCATGATTATAGTCCCAAATGTTCACATTTCTTTTTCAATAATGGTTCATTGTGGAACTGAAGTTACTAGTTATATTGCTTATTTGCTCGCATGTGAAAATTTGGATTGCCTCATTTGATAGTCTGAGCTAAAAGGCAAGCACTCAAAAGTTAGAATTCGATGTTGTCATATCTATTATTAGCATGACCTATTGGATGCAGCAAAAGCATTTGTTAGCCACTTAGATGACACATTGGGTATTAGCCATGACAAACGATGAGTTTGGTCATGGCAGATGACCTTGTTATAGTTGCCATGAAGAATGGTCCTTTAGCTGTGGTGAATGACATTTGTACCATGAGTTACAACAGATGGTTCACTTTAAAAAAAAAAACGATCCTTTTGATTATCTTTTGCACCTAGTTTTAAAATGTTCAATCTTTTCATAATTCCAAAAACTTTTATTACTCTCATTAAAAGTTAATAAGAAAATATATAACATTATTAAAATATATATTACTAAAGCCAAAAAAATTATAAATATTTTAAATAGAATTAATAATTTAAATAGATTTAATTAAATTCTTAAATTTTTGTTTATTATGATGAGAATATGCTGCAAATAATGTATAAATAAAATCAAAATGAATTGCAAAGTGTGATAGAAGAAATGGAGAATTACAAATAAGTTTCATATAGCAGACTTATTTATAAACAAGTCTTATGAAATTCATAAATTACAACCAAATCTTTTGAAATTGGAGGGCAATTTGTCATTGTGATGCAAGGACAATAATATTCATATTACTTTATCTTTCACTTACAAATACAACTTCATAATTTACTCAGTGAAAATTCATAATTTACAAGTTAAATTTCACTTGTTACAATTGTGAAGTTACAGTTGTAATTTAACATTAAATTAAAAGGGAAAATATTATCTTTATACTCCAAAT